CCCCCCCCCCCCCCTGGTTCACAAAATTTGAGTTCGAGAAATTTTTCTCATTATTCTACATTATAAGTACCCAAAGAGGCTATATATATAAAAAAAACGGATACAAATAGCTGTTTTGCGAAATTGAGAGCAATTTTAAATCTGTTCAGTTTCAGTTTTCATACACCCTGTATAGATGCTGAGTTTTTCGAATAGATGCATTATTTTATTGATATTTCCTTTTTATTGATTATTGTAGTCTAGTCTGGGAAAATTGCAGTAATTACTTGCACGACAAGATGCCGAAAAATGCAAAATAGAGCGGCAAGAATAATTACTGGCAAATCATATGAAATACGAACAAGTGAATTGCTAAAAGAGCTTAATTGGCAAACACTTGTGGAAAGAAGGGAGAGCGGGAGATTCACATTCATGTTTAATGTTAAAAATCAGGAGGCACCGGCAAATATGGCTAATTTGTTTAGATTCTCTAATAATGAAAAATATGACCTTAGAAATAACGGAATTAATTTTCAACTGGATAAACCTGACTAATTTCCTCAAAAAATGTATTAGCTACTCAGGGGCAAAATGATGAAATAATTTGCCAAATGAGATTAAGGCAAAAGAAATGACGATGGGACAATTCAAAACATTTCCCAAAGAAAACGACAATATTTGTTAGTTATATTTATGTGTGCATACAATATTTTGTATATATTCTCTTAGACTTTAACTGTGTGATAATTTATATTATATTATATTTTAGATGTAATTTTTATTAAACTTTGTAAATATTAGTTTAAACGGCCTCTTGAAAAACGGATCATAGGTGTTCTGAAGAGCTACCGTTTTAAAATATTTGTAAATAATAATAATAAATTGATATTTCCTTTCTTGTTCATTAATACTGAAAAATTTGTATTTTCCGATGTATTTTTGTACGACACGACTTTGTTTATCTGATTGTCTCGCTTTATGAAACATATAAACCTTTATATTTTTCGCTGTGTAATATAAATAAACTCTGTATCGTCTATGAAGTAAACAAATTTTGCACTCGCTCGTTCGTTTAATTTGCGAAAACAAATTAACGCGTGCGTAAATACCACACGTAAGTATTTCCCATGAAAAAATCTCTATATACTATCCGGTTATCCTATTATCCGGTTATCCGCTACCCGGGTTTTCTACCACGCCTTAACCATAGGCATTTGGGCAGTCGTTTATTTTAACGACGCCCTTTTTCTCCCGCCCGCACTAAACGCCTGCTAGGCAGGCTATGGTCGTATCGAAGAAGAACCGTGCATATCGAGCATAATTTTTATGAAACTTTGTCATAAAATAGTTATGCCATGCAAAGGGATAGGTTAGTATTAAATTTAGCTATTTTTTAACGTTTGTGCGCTGTTCTTGTCAAGTTCCTAGCCGTGTTTTGAAACGTGCTGCAAATTCATTGAATTTTAATACACTTCGCCACCTATTCAAGCGCTTCGTTCTCGCTTTAAAATAGTCGCTTTTTCCATTCGTATTTCTCCCAAATTTTCTTGCAATAATGTTCCGAAATACCCCCGCTTTGATTGATATAACTCATATTTGTTTTATCTGCTGTTTCAGGACCACAATTGGACAGGAAAGTTAACAAAATTTACTGATATAAAGTCGCCCACCCGAAGCACGTGGACGTGGTAAGCATCAATTATCACTTCTTTTTTTTTAAACAAATTTTATTTGGATCGATATTCACATTTTTTAACAAACAAAAGAATATAACAGAACAAATATTTATTAAGTTAGATTACCTAGATATCAAATGTAGATCCAAAAAGGTAAGGGACCGGTCACAGGAGATTCGCCCCCCAGGAGATTCGCCCCCCTCTCAAAAGGGGGGCGATATTCCTAGGATATTCGCCCCCCGGGGCGAATCTCCTAGGAATATCGCCCCCAGGGGGGCGAATCTCCTAGGAATATCGCCCCCCTTTAGGAATTTCGCCCCCCCTATAAATTTTGAATTTTTGATCTAAAAACAAAACGATTGCAAGTTGAAAAGATTTATTGCGTTATTTATATATTACAAGGAGACAAACTTACATATACATTTTAGGCTTCTTAGCACTGGTGTCATGTTCTACACATTTAAAGTGGAACCATTGCCCACAGAGATCGCATAAAATCATGTTGTCGTATTCTTTTGACAGTTTACATTCACATAACGTATTATGAAAAACAATCGCCTGCAAATTTTATCAATACCAGTGTTAACAATAGCCGCCACAGTAATCACTTGCTAACAATAAACTATAGGATTAATAAAAAATCTATGGAATGTGTTGGGAAGTGTATTGATCATTGTCCGTAGAATCATCAACTTTCCATGTCAGTGACAGTGTTAGTGATGTAATCTTGATTCTTGACTTCCGCGAAGAAAATAATTGCATTATATATGTGGTGTGACTTATTCAAATAATTTCATGATACTTTGATTTTATTAGTGCCTCAAACATTTAAGAATGTAACTCTGCAAAACTAAAACTTTGAAACGTATATTATTGGAGTATTGCCTATTGACAAGTTCTACCCTTCGCTTCTGAGATTTACAAACTATATTGAAATAATGCAAGTAAAAAATAGTGACAACTTATAAGCCACACATTTTCCAATAACGACAAAACGTGGATGCAAATCAATACCAATAATTACAATAACCACCACGGTGATTACTTTTTAACAATGAGTTTAAGGATTAACAGTAAAAATGCAAAATATGCATGGTGTGCTGTGAAGCGTCATAAGTTCTATTGATCTACTGTAACTGTGTAAGCCCTTTCGATACATGTAATTGTAAGGGCTTGAAATAACGTTCCCAAAGTTCCCGATCATGGTGATCGGCAGTCATAACTTTCCCTGCTTTTTTCAAACCGAAACCCTGCTTTTCCGCCGATTATAAGCAATTCCTTGCCGATCATTGATCGGTGATCGGTTGTTATTTCAAGCTCTGCCTTAACAATTTTGAATTGATACTGATTTCAAATGATTAAAGCCATGTAATAATTATCCGATGCAACTATTAGGAAGGGCGAAACTTTGAACGGAGGGACGAAAATCCTAAAGAAAAGGTGAAGTTTCTGAAGGGGGGCGAATTTCCTAAAGGGGGGCGAAATTCCTAGGATTTTCGCCCCCTGGGGGGGCGATATTCCTAGGAATTTCGCCCCCCGGGGGGCGAAAATGTAGGGGGGGGGCGAAAATCCTGGGACACCGGTACCGTAATTACAGCATCAAACAAAGTATTTAATAGGAAAGACACAAAATCTGAACGTAATGTCATTACCTTACACCCAGAATCAGGGATGCTTCTCGTTTTGTCATTTTTGGTTCAAAGCCACCTTTGTAATACCCTTTCAATGCCTGGTGATAAAGAAGGGGTAGAATTAAACTCTTGCTTACTTCGCCATTTAACTGCAGTAGCATGCATCCTAATTCACTTTACTTTGTTAGCTAATTTACTCTAATGCCAGAAGATTTTACTTGTGAAGGGAAAACTGCTGGCACTCAATGGCTTTGACAAAATGATCAAAAATAGGTTGGAATTACAATATAGACTCGAACAGTCTTTGCCAGTGCAGCTGTGCAGGTATAGTGACAACAACAGCACAAGACAAGACAAGACAAGACAAGACAAGACAATTTATTGCTCCATAATAATCACACAATTACATTTTTTTGTTTTACATTATTCCTTTTTTTATCTATTAATGTTACTTATATATTTAAAATATAGGAGCTGACACCCCAAAATAACCAAAAGGCTAAACGACTGGGGGCCAAGTAGCACAATTAATCAATAATTGTAAGACTGATCTTACAATAGTTACGATTTTTTAAAGAATAAAGAAAAATGAGAAATGAAAAGACAATCATTTTTAGGGATAAAAAAAATGAATACTGATTACAGTAATAAAAGCAGCTTTAATGTTTCTCTTAAGTTGTAAATATGTCGTATCTGTTTATCAGCTTCACTCAGCACATTCCATGCTTTCACTCCCTGATATCTTTTATTAATAATCCAAAATTTGTTCTTATTCTCGGCAAAGAAAAACAAAGATTTGATGAAAGTCTAGTATTATACATGTTCAACACGAGAAATAAATCTGGTATTTCCAAGCACCCATGTATTTTTCTGTTTATTATATAAACAAAATTCAGTGAAATGTCCGTGGCAATAAAATGTCCGTGGCAATACGTTTTACAACAAATGATATTTTCACACGTAAAAATATCGTATTTTTTGTGTTTAAATAAGATTTTTCTCAGTGGCCAAAAACTCTATATTAATAACACTTATGTTTATATAATAAATTAATGTATTTGATACACAGGAGTAAAGAGATTATTTAAACTTGAAGGCAAAAGTTGTCAGTGATATTTGTACATAAACATGGTGATACGTAATGTAATGAGATGGGTGAACTTTAAGATTTGGAGATGCTTAAAAAAAGGATTGAAAGCAATGGACCATTCCCCAATTAACCAACATTTTGAACTCAACAAGTCTAGACAAAAATTTCATCACAGCTTGAAAGAGCATCACAAAATTAGTAATATTCCAAAGTTTCGTTGCAAAATGTTATAACATGCGGATAATATAGCCTTGCGAAGTTTGCAATTTTCAGTCATTTTAGATTACAAACGGGAAATGGATATACCACTTCCGTGCGTAATACAAAATGACTGAAAACTACAAAGTTTGCAAGGCTATATTATCCGCATTTTACAACATTTCGCAACAAAACTTTCAAGTATTACTAATTTTGTGATGCTCTTTCAAGCTGTGATGAAATTTTTGTTTAGGCTAGTTGAGATCAAAATTTTGGAAAAGTGGTAACCGTTTCCCGCTCGTAATACAAAATGATTGCAAATTGCAAATTTTGCAAGGCTATATATTATCCGCATGTTACAACATTTTGCAACAAAACTTTGGAATATTACTAATTTTGTGATGCTCTTTCATGATGAGATGAAATTTTGTCTAGACTTGTTGAGATCAAAATTTTGGTTACTTGGGGATTGGTCCAATAGCAAGGGCCCTTCGTCAGTACTGATGAAGAAGGGTCATTCCTGTGGAAGGGCATCCACTTGAAACATCAAAAATACAAGTATGTATTTTTCAATCCGCAGCTTCTTGCATTACATTGCTGTTTGGTGGCAATAAGAAACGTTTCTTTAGTTAGCTGTACATACTTCTCAATGAAAAGAGTTTGATAATTACTAGCTGTTAGCCCAGTCTCTTCTCTGAATTTGCTAAGTAATAATTAAACTCTTCAATTTTTCGAGCAAACACTCTTTGTCATTTTCAGGTAGTCCAGACACAAACCACAACAGCTCATTGTGACACACATATTACCTACACTGGACCGCGGTCATGGATTTCAGACTAGTAAAACAGTTTCTTACATTTGCATTTGGCAGAGTCTTCGGGATAGCGTCAAATGCTGCAGCAAAGTTGACTTTCTTCAATGCTTGAACTGCAAACCTACCTAATGACGAACAGTTGTTACATTAGCTAATAATAATAGTTTGACATGAAAATGTGACAGTGTCACATAATTTGGGGCAAGAGAAAACATCTGTGGTTTTGGTAACACATGTTAACAACCCTCGAAATTCGCCTCGGCACTCAGCAATTGCCGACGCAAATGCCGAGGCAAGTTACGATTTTTCATAGTTTGCCTCGGCAAAAAAATGCCGAGGCAATTCCACCGGCTGTCCCTTAAACTACAAACGACAGTGTCTGTTCGTTTTTTTCTTCTTAAATATACAAACTACAGTGTTCGTTTTTTGTATCACTTCTTTGTTTGAATTGTTGTCATCGACGTCAGGTGAACAACAGAAGATTTCATAGCTACTTTACAAAATATTTAAATTTGAGCTTTTCAGCGTCGGCTTCGGTTGAAATAAAGAACAATCTTGATGGTTTCATTAATAAAGACGGTACGTCGAGAAACTTTGTTTTATCTTTTAGACTGTCGCGTGATTTTACCGTCAAGTTTATTCTTTCATACAATTGGTTTAAAAACATTTTGAATCAAGAATTTGTAAAATAACAACAAATTGTCAAACGTCAGAAGTCTCAGAATCTACGCTCATTATAATATTTGTTTACAATAATTTCCGTATGTACTTTACTTTAATTACAACTGCCGACGTGAATGCTGAAGGGTGCCGAAGCAATTGCCGAAGGAATTTAAGGTGATTTCATTGCGTGCCTCGGCAAAAAAAATTGCCGAGGCACTGCCGAGGCAAACTCGAAAATTATCGAAAGGCTTCGGCAATTATTTGCCGAGGCAAAAATAGTTGAATTTCGAGGGTTGATGTATGTTCATGCAAGTGTATGGCATACGAACAATGGACCATTTGCATTATAGACTAAATTTTGATACAGACAAAAATTTCATCACAGCTTGAAAGAGCATCACAAAATTAGTAATATTCCAAAGTTTCTTTGCGAAATGTTGTAAAATGCGGATAATATAGCCTTGCGAAATTTGCAATTTTCAGTCATTTTGTATTACAAACGGGAAATTGATGCGTGCGTAATACAAAATGACTGAAAAACGGCAAACTTCGCAAGGCTATATTATCCGCATTTTACAACATTTCGCAACGAAACTTTGGAATATTACTAATTTTGTGATGCTCGACCTTTCAAGCTGTGATGAAATTTTTGTCTAGACTTGTCTAGATCAAAATTTAGTCTATAATGCAAATGGTCCATTGCTGCCAAATTAAGAGAGGCATTACATCAGATCTTCAGCATGTAGCCTACATGAAACCATTGAAATGAATATACCTGGAATGCTACCTCCAACTGGAAATTTGAATCCAACTTGAACGCCAGTCCCAGTCGTTTCATGCTTGCAAAGAGCGCTCAATCAGAAGGTAGCGTTCCAGTTATACTCATTTTATTGCATGGAATGTACACAGCCTGTGCAATCATCAAACAAATCTGTAAATTACTGGGATAAAAATGTATTTGTTGATAATACTGAAATGAAAATGTACAGTATTAATAAGGCCAAATAAAAAAAAAACTTGGTTAGCGTCACCACCCGCCTCTCGATTTCTGCCGCCTCTGAATTTTTAAAAAATTTTTTTAATGTAAATCTCTTCGTTTTACAGCTTAAAACAGTTTAATATTTGAAATTTTTCTCATGCTTACATCTTCGTGCTATAAACTGATCTATAGGAGCGCGTGGAATTGGGTACATTATAAGGTTCTGTGAGAGTGCGACGCTAACCAAGTATTTTTTTATTTGGCCTAATGGTGGCAACATGATGATCAATAATTCATTCCTCCATTTGATGGGTTGAATGTTAGTTGTGGATTAGGGTCAGTGTGATGTCACCCACAACGAACACTCGTGTGAGATAGTCAACCCCTCCATTTGAGGCTCAACAACCATTCCTTGAATTATTTGTGGCCAATTAATGTCAAGCACATTGATTTTAAAGATTTTTTTATCTATAAGGGCACATTATCCAACCTCGTAGCCAGGGTATGGGTACGAGGCTGCACTTTATCCACAAGACACAACATTATGGTCATCAAATGATGAAATATTATTAATTTAATACATTAATACGACATACCAGCAAAAGCTGCCCCAGCTACACCAAGACCGGCCAATATTAATGTTGTCTAAATAATATCAAATAAAATTTCTCACTGTCATGTATAAAACTAACCAATTTCTATATTCCAGAAATATACATACCATCTCTGAATCTTCTTTCCACAAAAAAATCACAAATTTGTGAAATTCACTGTCAGATATGACGCAATAACCAAACGTGTACCCCACGTGTTTTCCACGTAGTCGGTAAGAACACTCGTATTTTTGCTTGTTTTCAATTTTTTTAAATTTGGCTGAATAAAACCTGAATTAAACTGCAGTTTTAAATTTTATAATGATAGTCATTTAATTATTGGTCAAGATTTTATTCGCCATGTTTGAGAATAAACAAGAAGAACAGTTTTTAATGAGAAAATATCTGTAAAATTTCCAGAGTGATTCGTGAGCGCCACGCGTGGAGAAAGTTGTTTTCCTGTTTCCACTTTTCAAAAATTTCCTTTTTGCAATAAATGAAAGGGAAAGAAAAGAAAGACACCACACAGTGACCACAGGGCAGAGGGACCGCTTGAAAGATGAAAGTAAAAGTTTGCTTGAACTTTTAAGGATCATTCCAGTGAAACAACAGAACACATTTTGGATACGTTTGCCCAAAATGTTTTGATTCCCCAATCCCCTTAATCATTTGCTCATCCCTTTGGCCTTCTAGTTTTCTGGGAGGTGGGGTAATTGCCCCCCCCCCCCCCCCCCCACCCCCCCAAATGGTGATCAGTTAGCAGAGTTTGCTACATATACACTATTGTTTAGGAGCCAATACTAGGAATTAGAATCAAAATGGATAGTCGTCAATTAATAGTTCAATGTCTTTAAGTGGCATATAAATGAAGTTCTCATATAAAAAGTGGTAGCACGAAGGACGTGTCTTCTTGAGTTCTTTCCTCGAGCAATAAAACAGCGATAATGGCAGACGATTTATTGAACACAAATGGCAATGCAGAAGTTGACCCTGCTGCCGAATTTCTTGCTCGAGAGCAGGACGAACTCGCCGAATTAGGAGAAGACTTTCAGACTGAGGAAAACGGCGATGTAAGTTTTTCAAATCCAGAACAAAGGTCGGCGTTTGACATGATAGTAGAAGCCATCAGAATCAATATTTGCTAACAAATTGACAATTGAGTAGTATTTTGTTGTTTTTTTTCGCTACCATGCACCATTTTTGTTTCTTATATATATGTAATATTCGGAGTAGTGAAAGTTTATTTTTGAAAAGGGTAAAAATTCGTGTTTTCTCGTTTTGTTCAAATGGTTGTCACATTTCGGGATTTAATCTTAAAATATTTGATGAATGATATTTTGAAATCACTGATATAAGGCCATGAGGGTTGGATATATAATAACCGTGGATATTCATCAGACATCAGATCTGAATGTGCTACGGCTATTAATCCGACACAATATTACGCAAGCGTACAACTGTTGATTCATGGTTTTTTTGTACAATAAATTTTTCCTGAACCTTTCCCATATCCTAAGTCTGACCCTAAACTAAACTAACCATTCTGGCCACTTTACGGCAGAGAAAGAAACACTAACATATACACTGGAAATTCCATTCCCAAATTCGAACCTAGAGACAGTGCCCTACAATGCAAGTGCCTTAACCACTAGGCTGCTGAGAATTTACGTGAAATCACATGAAATTTATTTGTTACCATTTTAGCATTTCCAACAAACAAGGAAAATACTTCGGTCTGATGAATAGCGTCTAAATGTTGATCTGATGTCCGATGAATAATCACTGCGTATAAAATATTTTTTTCGAGATAAAATGCACAAAACTAATTGCATTCTTGTCTAGTTTAGTTTTGAACACTGGTCAAATGAAAACAAGTTGATAAGCAATACATAGAGAAAACTCCTATAAAACTTTGAACCAGCTCAAAATTGACGAGAGTCGATGAGTGTGAACCTGGACTTTAGTTGTCAGAAATTAGATGTGTATCATAATGAATAATGGTATTGTTTTTACAGGCTGGGGAACAAGATGACACTGGAGATTTAATTGGCGGTACCGAGGATGTTGGCGGTCCAGCAATTAATGGTTTTGACGATGTATGATAAATCATTGCTTGTCACAGCTTGGTTTATATATTGACAGTTCTTAATGTAATGTTGATGTTTTTAAGGACGATGATCCACTGCCAAGCTCAATGTCAGGAGGAAATTTGGTTCCAGAAATTGAACCAGAATGTATAAGGTAATCTTTGGAAAAGTGCTCAGCACTCATGCCAAGGATCTTTTTGGGCCTGTCGCTCGATAGAACCAATAGCTGAAGGGCTTTTGTTCTATGGAAATTTTTGAGAGGAAAGTTATGTACAATTTTCAGACCTAACAAGGAACAGTGCAGCAAAAATGCAACTATAGCCCCCCTGACAGGAATAGAACCTGCAATTCTGATGCAGTGCTCTAACAACTCAATGGACCTATTACCTAATAGCCAATATTTTGATCTCAACATGTCTAGACAAAAATTTCACCACTGCTTGTAAGGGTCTATCACGCCTCCCAATTTTCCCCACAATTTCAACTTTTCACAAGAACAGTTTTGGAGGTCATTGGGGGAGGGCAGCACCCCCTTGTGGTTATGCCACTAAATGGCAGTGCAATTATTAAATCATTTTATTATTTTTGCCAAAATTGGCTAACACAAGGTATAATGTTAAGATTAATGAATCATATGCCCAACTTAATTCCGTTTGTTTCAGAAAATGGAAGGAGGAAAAAGCTGCTTTGCTGGAAGAGATGGACGAGAAGGAACGACAAGATCAGGAGGATTGGATCGCTCAAGGAAAGAAAGAACTAGAAGAGTGGTACGCACGAACGAATGAACAACTTGGAAAAACCCAAGAAAATAACAGGTATATATATTTGTAGAAGGTTATGGTAAAATATTGTTTGTATCTAAGTATTAGTGTCACACATACTAGAATTGAGCTAAACTACCAGGTGATCTCGTGTTCGTATTTTAGCCAATCAGCGCCCAGAAAGGGTTGTCCGAATAGAAATCCATTTTGATGTATTCAGTCAATTATATCTTTCGTTATTCTTTATGAAACTAGTTGAAATTTTGTAATTATGTTTGGTTATGAGAACTATAGCTCTGACAAAAATATGGAATCGAAATAAACCATATTACAGGAGATATTCAGTTGTTTTAGTCATAAAATGGATTTCTATTTGACAACTAGTGCCAGTACTTTTCCGCGTATCAAGATCATCTGGTATACAGTGGGCAGACTTGCAAATAATTATTTTCTTGGGAAGGACAAATGTCTGGCCAAGAAAAAGTGATCAGACATTACTGAACTCTTGTTGGATAATGGACCAAGTAAAGTTCTTCATTTAGCACAATGTATTTTGGATGACTATCACTGTTGAAGCCTTGGCCAAACCTAGATTGCAAATAAACAGTACAGTCTGTTTCTATGTTACCATATTGTTTATTTGTTTGTTTATTGAGTTCCTCACTCATTGGTGAGCAGAATTTCCCAACAATAGCCAAATTGATGGGGGATCCGAGGTACCTCAATTTAATGTCCTGTCAATGTAAAGGTAGTTCTTTCTCCTCAATTATTTTCAGACCTTGACTAGGGGTCATTGAACGCGGATCTCCCAACTTGTAAGGCAAGCGTGGTGAGGCCAAAAAAAGTATGTGGGTTTCCGGTTTCCTGACCCTACCTAGCTTTTGGACGTCAAAATCCCGACCCTAAACTTTTTTATTGGATCATGCTTGTAAGTGTTTCCACTTAGAGGAAAAAGTTTGTGGAAAATTGAAATTTGAGGCAATATTAGGGAAATTTACCTTTGGATGTGGAAGCACTGACTAAACAAAATGGCGTCCGCTTGTTCGGAAAATTAAAAAGTTTTAAAAAAAAAGTTAAAACCGACCTACCCCACCTAAGTTTTTATAAGAAGAAACCGGAAACCCACATTTTTTTTTGGCCTGCCCATGACACCATAAGTGCTGGTCATTTAAATTGATCGGACTCAATGTCTGGTAATAAAAAGCTTTTGTTGGACAAAACGTAAAATTTGGCCGGACAGTGTCCGATGACGGGGTAGCATTAATCGCATTCTCATCTACAAATTTCTCTCGTTTTCAGAGCGGACGAAGAACAATTCATCGCCGAGCGAGATGAGACAAAGCCTGGTTCAGAATGGGAAAAAGTCTGTCGCATGTGCGATTTCAATCCCAAGGGAACGAAACCTACGAAAGATACATCAAGAATGCGCTCAATATTGTTACAACTCAAACAGACTCCTTTAATTCGATGATACAACCAGACCTTTATACTTTTGACATTTTAATTTAGAATTTCTCTTTGTAATTATTATAGTCATAATTAACTACATCTCCAATTCTCCGTAAGAGCTGTAGAAGAACTATGATATACCATAATATACCAATTATCACTCTAACATATATATGAAGTTATTTAACGTATAACGGATCATTCATTATCAAATAGCGAGATTAGATCACCATGATTTTCATATTCTGTTGGTTATAAAGATGATTTCTGTACGAAATTACTGTTCTAATAAATTCTTGATTTTCATCATTTTAATGAGTGATTGTTTTTGGTCTGAAGTGAATCTCTCTAAAGACTGTTTACACCTGGACTGTCAAAGTTTCTGTATCATAGTAGGATTTTGCATATATAGGTAAATTATACGTTTTTGGCTCTAAAAAGCACCCTCACTGGTTAAAAATTTCCTTGTTAATCTTGCAACATGAAGTGCAAAGGCCAAAGAAATTATTTTTCTGTGAAATGACTGACCACAAAAAACTGTGGATTCTTAATTCCAAAATGAACCTGAACGTTGCGTTGTGAATCCCATGGATAATAAAATAAATTTATTTTACAATCCATGGTGAATCTTATGTCATGTCTTTTATCTTGATTCGCTGTCTTTTTAAAACTAAACATTGTGTTGTAAATATACTTTAGATTTTAAAAATTTCTCAATGGATAGCAAAGCCCAGACCCTATAGATTTGGGTTGTTGGAAGGCTAAGCTAAACAAGTTGGTGACGGAGTTGTGGTATTTACAAAAAACATACTATGCCAATACTGAACTGAACATTCAGTCAATCTAGTGAATGTACAGTATGTAACGCTGTATAATGAAAAGTCTGTTTCTGAAAACGCACGAAATGCAGGGACCAGGGTGGAAAAATACGAAAATTTCCCCCAGACCCTCCTATTACGTAGGACACCACACCAAACTTTTTGTAACCAACAACCATCTGTAATATCTTCACACTCAGTATGGTCAAGTATGGTCCCTTTATGTAGATGCCCCAACCTCGTCCCCAGGGCCTCTCGCGTCCTCCCTCCCTAGGCCCTGGGACACGCGGAACTGGAAGTGCAAGAAAACTTGCAGTAGTTTCTAAAGTGCATGCTCTTGAATGGACAATCCCATATTCATCAAAATTTTGAACTCAACAAGTCTAGACAAAATTTTTATCACAGCTTGAAAGAGCATCACAAAATTAGCAATATTCCAAAGTTTCGTTGCGAAATGTTGTAAAATGCGGATAATATAGCCTTGTGAAATTTTCAGTCATTTTGTATTACAAACGGGAAATGGTTACCACTTCTGTGCGTAATACAAAATGACTGAAAATTACAAACTTCGCAAGGCTATATTATCCGCATTTTACAACATTTCGCAACGAAACTTTGTAATATTACTAATTTTGCGATGCTCTTTCATGCTGTGATGGAATTTTGCCTAGACTTATCGAGATCAAAATTTTGGTTAATTGGGGATTGGTACATTGGGACGCTTTAGCACCCGTAACAATTTTCACAGTGAAGTATAAACGAAATTTTTCAATTTTTCGAAATTTTCCAAGAAACGAAGTATTTGTGTTGACATATGTTGATAGAATGTTTTTGCCTAGCGAAAACTGCTCAACTTTTGCGAAATAGCAGTTCTCTGAGAAGCCAATCAGATCTCTCCCTTTAGTCGTCTAACCCAGAGCCTAATTTTCAACGAGTGACCGAGTGAAAATGGCTCTGGGGACGAGAATGTAGATGCCCCCACCCACTGACGAATTCCCAAAAAAGGACCTGGTTCCTGGTTGAATTTCCTGGCCTGGTTAGGGGCCATTCACAAAGGATGTCCGAGCCGAGGGGGGGAGGGGGGGTTTGGAAAATCAGGACAAACTCGGACATAGGGGGGGAGGGGGGGGGATTTAGCAATCCGGATGTCCGAAATTTAAAAAAATTCAAAAATAAATTTCTTTTTCCCTCTATTTTGAGCAGCCTTCCCATTGTGAAATTGGCATTTTGACTATGCGGTTAACACTAGATTTTGTTTTAATTAGTAATTTATATGTTTTTGTGTTCACATTTACAGTTATAAAAAGTTCTAAAAGTAAAAAAGTTTTTTACTCTTGATATATACAAGGTTGCGTGCGTTTTTGCGAGGCATGGCGGATGTCCGGGGGGAGTCACTAATTCGGACAATGCCGGACAAGGGGGGGAGGGGGGGGTCTGAAAATCCATCATTTGGCCGGACATCCTTTGTGAATGTCCCCTTAATTTTTAACCACAATCCAGATCGTATAGTCCTGGCTATTAATTTAACCAGGATCCTTGGTTAATTTTAACCAGGTTATATGGTTGAATTAACCAGATTATGTTATGCTTGTAATGTTACTCTGAGTGCATATTCACACCGGCCAAGCTTGAAAAATATGCCTGGCCACGGCGGGAATCGAACCTACGACCTTTGGAATACTAGCCCAATGCTCTTCCAACTGAACTACGCAGATCAGGTCGGTTCGAGTATGTGATATTTCGGAACTGAGTCTAGTTCCTTTGATATCGATGTAATCTGGTAATCCTGAATTTTTTTCTGTGTTGGTGTAATGTACTCGGGTGAATATGATGCTTGTGATGTTACTCTAAGTATATATCCACACCGTTGTGGATATGCACTCAGAGTAACATTACAAGCATCATATTCACCTGAGTACATTACACCAACACAGAAAACATTTCAGATTATGATAGGTGAATTATTAACCAGAAATTTCTGGTTAACTTAGCGACGATAGTTTACTCTGAAATTCCTTGTTTCAGAGCGAGTAACGATGAACACATAAGATACCCAAGAATCTTGCTAGCTATTACATTTATTTATTTATATTAACTAAGTTGACAAGAAGAATGGGGATGTAAAAGACATTCCATATTACCACCAAGCATGGTCACACAATCCTATACATGCCCTCGGTGTACATGAACTCATGCATATGACCTAAATGGTAAATATAGCCTGATTTACAGTTAAAAAACGAAACAAAGTTAACACTGACTTTGCATAATACCATCCCGAAAAGGTTTAGGATTGGTATTAGGATTTTCCTAGCAAATCTGGCTATCAGTAAAAAACACGTACATAGGGCTATTATGTTATATGTATAAATTTCAAAATCTAAAGTAGTAGCGTCCTCTATGGCTACTAACTATACAAAGTCTATATATACTGCATGCGCAAGTAATGACATTTACATCAACGTTCTTATAAGAAGCATAAAGCTGTCCACAAGTTGCCAAGAGGTACGCCGTCATAAGAGCTTGCAAGTCTCTACTGTAAATTCAATGAATCGTTTTGATGTTGGACTATCAGAGAAGTCCAATTTTGACTTTCGCTAAACCCTTAATACATTAGTCAATCAGATGCATTTAATCTACCCATTTAACCAATCAAATTATGCGTCGGTAGTGGAAATTAAATGGTAGTGGATGTTAAATACATCTATGGTGTGCCTGTTTCAAACAGTATTGTTTCTTTATAATGCATTGCATATTATCAAAGTTCATTCTATTTGGAGTTCATCCATGGGCGCATGGGAGGAAAAAACAAGGCGGAGGGGGGGGGGGGGAGAAGTTTGCACGACTTATTCGCATTTTGCCCGGCTTGTCAAAAAAAAAAATTCCATGCTAAACTCCCCCCGACTCTTACGCTAACAAGTTTATCAGTAGACAGTATAAACGTACCAAAACATTTAACAAAATATACAAAATGTTAACAGGCTATAAAATATTTAGCAACTTGTGGAACAGGCATATTAAGCAAAATCTATCGTGTTATTTGAACAAAGTTATTTTCCGTTGCCGTTGCTATGAAGTAAGTTCATTTCCATCCGTGGGTTACGTTTCGGGATGCTACTTGGAGTATGCCTATTTACACAGAAAACAAGAAGCGCAATAAAAGCAATCCAAGCAAGTGTACCAAGCAAAATGGCCCACCAATATTTTCGTGTGATCGTTTGTACATCTGTATGAAAAAGTAGAATATGACATGTTACATCAATGGATGATTCTGGACAAGAAGAACAGAATCCATCACCACAGCTAGAAAGAGCATGTTAAAATTAGTCAAATTACAAAGTTTGGTTGCGAAATAGTTGCAACAAAATTTGCAAATTTCGCAGGGCTATATTTTCCGCATTTTACAACATTTCGCGGCCAAACTTTGCCATTTTACTAATTTTAACATGCTCTTTCTAGCTGTGGTGATGTATTTTGTTCATCTTGCCTAGATCAAAATTTAGTCTATGGCTGGAATTGCCTATTGCCAATTACCGTAAATTATTAAATCATAGGGCAGCCCAAAAATGCGTGTAGAATGCACGTAAATGTCAATTTATAAATCAAGCTCGCCCCATTCCTCTGACATTTGTCTGATAAAAAAAACATGACAGGTTGACGTGGAGTTCTGCATAAATCATGCATACAGTGATCTGTACGTCCGCCATTTTGGATTATGCACGTCAATGCGTCACAAGGTCATGCAAATATTTTACCCAGATATGGCTAACCCTGTTTTTGACATCAGCAAAACCAACGTTAATGAGATTTAATATGAAAAGCCTTGATGAAAATGCATAATATCATGATATATACTTGCCTTCTCTCTTATAGTACAGTCCTTCAATATTTTTCTTCGGTGTCTCCAAGTCCACAACTTGACAAACATGAAATAAATCACAGAATCCAGTGTCGTTACCACAGGGTGCCCCTATCGGCAGAGTTGGCTTTCTGAAGCCTGTCACCTAGTCGAGAAAGAGGCATGAATTTGAACTAAAAACACACACAAAATGACTATTTTTCATTAAAACAACACCTTTGTTTAACACAGGCCATAGCCGCTCAGTAATTGCAACAGTAATTAATACGTCTAATCAAAGGTAAGACCTTACAGTAATGAATGATTCCAGCTATACACTAAATTTTGATCTAGGCAAGAAGAACAAAATCCAACACCACAGCCAGAAAGGGCATGTTAAAATTAGTAAAATTGCATGCAAAGTTTGGTTGCGAAATGTTGTAAAATGCGGAAAATATAGCCCTACGGCTACGAAATTTGCATATTTGGATATATTATAATTTGTATTACGCGCGGGGAAATGCACAGCATTTGAGCTATAATCTATATTTTCCGCATTTTACAACGTTTCGCAACCAAACCATACAATTTTACTAATTTTAACATGCGTTTTCTAGCTGTGGTGATGGATTTTGTTCTTCTTGCCGAGATCAAAATTTGGTCTATAGAATATACTCGCCATCATATGATATTTACCAGTAATACACTAACAAATTACGGCAGTCGATGTTTTAACACATTTACTCACCTTGGGGATATGCAGTGCTGGTTCACATCTATTGAGGAAATTACAGCAAACATAGCACTGAAACTTTGTGTCAGAGCACTGGCATTCAGTCAGACCATACCTTCGGCACACAGAATTGGAACAGATTCCGTCCAAACACACTTGGGATTCAGTAGCACATGGCTTATAGTTGCCTTTCTTTACCCTGCCTGGGCACTGGTAGTTCGCGAAACCGCGAAGGTTACGACATCGGGCAGCAAAGGCGCATTCATCACCTGGACGGCAAGTATAGTCCGCGCTTCTGTGGCTGCAAGTCATTGGGTCACAACATGGACCTGAAATTTGAGAATGCGAATATGTGTTTTAGGGGTCATTCACAAAATACGTGGCGCTCGTAGGGATAGGGGAATGTTTGATCTGGAGTCACATAGTGTCACAAGGGGGGGAGGGGGGGGGTGTATCACAAGCGGTATCGCGTAACGAAGCTAAGAGGCATATAGGGCTCTCTTCTCCACAGAGGCTTCTAAAGGAATAAATTCGAAGGAATAAATTTAAAATTGCGCTAGACCAGGTACCTTCTAGCGCAATTTAAAATTTATTCCTTCGAATTTATTCCTTTAAAAGCCTCTGTGAAGGAGAAAGCATATAGGGGAAAATTTATCCCTGTCTATAACAAAACAAGAGCATGCTTGCAAATACAGTATGTGTCCCTTTATAGATGACAAATCGAAGTTTTCTATCAAAGTATATTGTTATTCAACGAACCAGCGAGAAACTGAGCGGGAAACTGTTTAGACCGAGGTTTTATAATAAGGCATTGAAATAGTGTCGATTTTATATACAATATCGTTTTGAATATATTAGATATGCATTTTGTGAGTATTTTTTTTTTGGGGGGGGGGGCCGCTACTTGCTTGAACGTTCAAACATTGCCATTCAAAGGTCGAGTGAAAATAGCAGTTAATATTGTATAAACTACACCTTACCATCGTTGACGCTGCAATAAGATCCAGCACGCAGTTTACATGTCTTTGGATCACAGCAGTTTCCAGGATCACTGGTCTTACATTCCTCTGGCGTTCCGCAATCACATTGTTCTTGATTCTGACGGATTGTGTCGCCGCATGTCGGTCGCCGAACGATGATTCTCTTTGGAACTTCGATGCACAGTAACTGTTCATTATCATTCCTATCTTTTATCAAGGGACGATTAACTGTTTGCAAGGTATGAATGATTGCTCGAATGCTGCAATTTGAGAATTTATTATTGTTCAATCGACCTCCATTTGATGCCTTATCGTACATGACGTACTTTCCACCTTCGCTTATTGGCGGTTGGCACTCCTCTGTGTCAGGGTCATTCTATAAAAAAACAAGTTAGCAATGCAAGATAGACGACAAGACAAAATTATAAATCTTTAAATTTATGCAAAACTTCAAGTTTACTTTTCACAAAAATGATGTTTTTATATACAGAACGTACAACATAATTAACAATTATTGGATGAGGTTTTTGTGATATGCGGAATTATCAAGGTCGAGGTAAGCGTTATCAGCCGAGCCGAAGGCGAGGCTGATAACGCTTACAGAGACCTTGATAATTTTATAAGAACCTTTAATAAGGTTCCTTATTAGGAGGAACCTTTAATAAGAACATTTAATAAGGAACCTAAGGAACCTTTAATAAAAACATTTAATAAGAACCTTCAAGAAATACAAGAACCTTCCCGCTTCTGTAACTTGTTTTGTATTTATTTGTTTATTTTCTGTAGCGATTACCGCTTTATCGGCACATATCGCGTTAGGATCCGGTGGAATTTCGCTTTCCTTCCTTTATATACGTCAATTTGTAGCAGATAGATAGATAGATTAGATAGATAGATAGATTATTTAATACATGGGTTTTCAACTTGGGGGACATGTCCCCGAGAGGGGACATTTGGCAAATTCCTAGGGGACACAAACTGGTCTAGGACTGAGAAAACAATAGTTGAATACAATAGTTGAATACAATAGTTTGTACTATAAACATGTTTGCTTGACTTTATTTTACTAACTATTTCGAAATTCGTGTTTTTGATAGACTTCAGTGGGCAATTTCTGTTCAGGGGACGTGGTAATTCAATCATGTGAAATCGGGGACACATGAGAAAACCAGTTGAAAACCGTTGATTTAATAAGATTTTACATCGCAGCCCAAAAAAGCTGAATTGCGTAAAATTTACAAAACATATAAATTAACTGTAGGTTATAACGTCTATAGACACATGCATATATATATACACACATACAAATACTAACAGTACACATATTTTCATACATATACATTACGATCTTTTAAGGTTCAAATTAGACTTATGTTATGAAAACAATTCATAGCAAACCTATTTCTTTAAATTATTTGACATTGCGGAAATATAAGAGTTTCTAAAACGATTGGTCCGTATAGTAGGACAATCAAACGCACGTTCTCTCCTCAGGTTGTAAGTGGGATTGTGTTTGGGTGGCAGTAGTTGATAAAGCTTGTGAGTTGTGGTCTGAGTTGGATACTTTGTCTTGAAAAGTTTTTCACACAGTTTCTGACGCCTGTCTTTGAGAGAACTAATATTATGCTTGTTAAGATTGTTCGTATAAGATGACCCAGGAGATATCATTGAAAGCGCTCGCTTTTGAATGCGTTCAAGATCGTTACATAAATATGCAGGTAATGAGTGGTGGAATACGGGG